GTATTGTTTAAAGTTTTAGACAAACCAGGTGTAAATTTATAGTAACAAACTGTTAAATATACATCAGCAAGATTTTTGCGAATCCTATTTTTCGCTGGAGACTATCATTTACTGGCTGGTCACGCAATCAAAGGTAACGTACTTTCCTACGTTTGTTTACTCACCTTTCGCTCAGCAATACACTGCGTTCCACAAAGGATCCAAATTGCGCTAGAAATGTTTTGCTATTCGGCCCACTTTTTATCTCAGGTAAGGCACTGCAAAGCTGATTCACTTACGAAGATTCGAGGGAGAATTATTTCTTGATGTTATTCTGATTTCGCAGTCATGGGAAAAAAGACCTAGACTCAGGTCCACTCGCAGACGCCATGGTACAATCTACAAGATCTCAAGAACAGAAATTACCCATTGAACGGCCTCTCCTTTTGAAGATTGCGTGTATTTCATTAAAACAGGTACATATTAAAAGAATCTTGTTAGTTTCGCCCTTTTAACGAGCTCAAATCGATGCATGAAACTAAGGTGACGTGCACGTGTCAACTGACCCTGGGGTCAATTAGCGGTTGTTTGGGGCAAAATAACCTCAAAATAATCAATCTATTTTACAAGCGTTCGCGAGAACACCAGACTAACTTTCAGATAATGTTGAAGTACTATATCTCATTAGGTAGTAAGCGGGATTTGGGGCGATTTGGAGAATTCCCCCATATAGAAAATTCGATTTTGGTTTTAGCGGTAAATTGTTGTATTTATAAACATTATGCAAATTACGTTTCAAAATTCTGCTGGTTCGTGGATATTTCATGCTCTAAATCTAAAAAATGTGCCGTTCAGAAATTGTTAGATATCTGCTTTTTGAGATTTAAGCGGAAGATTGCCAATATATTTGCTCGTTTATGAAAGTCAGCTCATTTCTGTCGCTGAGCTATATTGCCGTGTTCGGCGGCTAATTTTAGGCCCGCAGACCGTTGAAATCGAAAATCTTAAATAATTCCCAAACTCGGCCGCATTTTGAAATTTAAACCTCAGCAGTGTTATAAACTGATTAAAACCTTATTACAGACTGAAAATGAGGGTAAGTTAGATTTTGAGCTGTGGCCACGATTTGCCGATTTTGCTCGATTTTTCTGTGCATTCGCTCTTAACAGTCTGTTTGAGCTATTTTCCTTTGTAAACGTCAAAACAGCTCAAGAAAACAAAGAGGAGTAAAATTACCTTAAGTGGTGTTTATTTTTATAGCCAAATTCGGACTTAAAAAGGAGTTTGCACGGCCTGGCAACTAGCGTAGGTTTTTCTTGTCACTGAAGAGTAAAGCTTGTCACCTGGCGCCGGTAGATCACAGCCTTGAGGAGGCATAAATTCATGTTCGTTTGTTCTTATAGGCGTTGCTAAGTCGAAAATGTACTTCCAAAAAAAACCAGAAATTCTGAAGGGGAGGGGGGGTTCACGACTATGGAATTCTGAGGGCATGGGGGGGTAGCGCATTTTGGAATTTCCGAAGGCAAGGGGGGGTTAAAACATGGAAGCCGTCCGTGGTTGGGCATGGATATTTTCTGGAATTGCCCATCCAGAGGGCACTTTGGAGAAAATTACGACCCTTATTCAGCCGCAATAAAAAGCTTTACGCTTCAAAAGAGGTCAAAGAAAATGCTCTTGCATCAGAGAGGGCAAATCCTGCCGACCAGAGACAAAAACCACAGTAAATCGATATGTATGCCATGACTTCTCAGTGTGAAACCGGCGGCTAAAACCATATTTGCTCAGTGAAAATTTAGAACCTTCCAGAGCATAATCTACCGAGCAGAGGAAAAAACTTATGGGAACAGGCAGCATTTTGGCGTGAGGTAAACGCCGTGTAGGCCTACCGCCCTCTTTTATTGCTATAAATGCGGGATAAATACCCAAAGGTGTAATTCCTGTCGGCGATCGAAGCGCTGTTAATTTCTTTGTACTTGTCCTTGGAGGTTCACGTTCTGGAGAAGTCTTGATAGTATCTGTACCTTTGGCATTCCAAGTTCGCTCATAGCAGGGGCTTGTTGAATTAGAAACTGAACTAGCAAGACGAATGGCACGATGAGCACAAGTTAAGCAGCTTAAATCAGAAAAGCTTTCTCCTTGCACAAGAGGAAATCTTGAGCAATCAAATGCTTGCACTAGTACAACGCTGTCTTGGCCACTGTCAACCAGCAAGGTCTTATTTCTTGAAACGCCAACAAACCGGCACCGTATTAATTCTCTTACCGGAGATCAACGATTTTTTTCAAAATCGACAATTAGGCTCGCGGTCCATTTCACTTTGTTTTGAGACGAAGCAAAACACGGATGTTTTCCCTTTAATTTTCCCAGGAGTTACTCACGCGCGAAATTGATTGACAGATAACGATCTTGCTGACAGATGTTCGGCAAGATAATTACAAGAGGGCGGAATAGCGGCCTCAAACATGTGTCTACAGGCTCTCTCCCCCGTTCCCTTCCCTTTCCTTGCTATTTTTTTCCCCAGACAGAGAGCCTGTTCACAGGCTACCCCTACAATTTTCCTAAAAAAAAGTTGAGAGGATTTGTTTACAGGTTGACAAATTTTCCATTAGCTGATCATTGTTTTTTTAATTTTCAAAACATTTTCTCTTGATTTATGTAATTATTGTCATTCTTTAGAGAAAATTGATGTTAATCACCCTTGGGGATAAAACATAAAGACTTTAAAATTGTATTTGATTTATGTATTATTCACTAAGTGTGAGGTCAAGATTGCTTTATGATGGCTAATTTCCTTTTTTACTGGGTCTTTAAACAATGCCAATAATCCAGCCAGGGTATTGGCTAACAAGAATTTTTTTACCTGTGCAACCAACTCAGGAAATCCCGAACGGGTAAGAAAGGCCCACCTTGCCCACTTGGGTAGCAAGTAAGAACACACTATTCACTTCATCTCACCTGTTCGAGGAAGCAGTCCCAAACAATGTTCGAAAAAAACTTGAATTCCAGCGCAAGTCTTCATTTACGTTTTTAACAAATCTTATTTAGTTGGCAGATGACTTGCCTTGGCCCTCGCTCTTCAGTCAACTTAAGTGAGAATGAAACATTACTAATGCCCAGCTGGAAATCCTACTTGTTCTCGATGTTTTGGATGACCAGGCTGCATTCTTTTCAAGCCCTGCTTATAGTAATAAACTGTCAATGTATGATCATTTATAGGTTTATTGTGCTATCTATTAGATGTGGGCATGACTCATGTTTAATTTGACAGTAAAGAAAAACATTCTAAAGCAGCTGGCAACCTAAGAAGAGCTATATTGATCTGATTTTTTTGTTGTGCTAAAAATATAGACAATGAATGCTATCTTCAATGCAGTATTTTTTTATATAGATTTCTTTATGCACAACCAACAACAACAACAACAACAACAACAACATCTTTATTTCTTACATTAAATATACAAATATCACACCACCTGCAAATAGCAAGGCTAATCGAGGCAGGTGGTGTGTAGACGGCTTAAGATTTCTTACGAAAAGTTGAAGTGAAAAAGAACCATATTTATAATAAAAAAGGTCAGTCACGAGAGAAATTGAGATAAGAAAATCGAGGCAGCTATTTAGATAAGCGGGGGCTAATATTTTTTAAAATCGGAGATTATCGTGTTTAGGTCAGCATATCTATCCTGAACTTCAAATATTTTCAACAGAATTGTATGAACTTTTTCCTTAAAGAGAGATTTTGAAGAATTTCGTAAATTTTCAGGTATACTATTCCAAATTTTGGCTCCCATAATAGAAAACGAATCATTTTTCTGATTTAGTCTAGAGTGGCTAATGTAATAATTTCCAGAAGAGGAGGAGTGAGTGCTGTAAGAGTGGATTTGTTGAGTAGGAATAAAGAGATGTGAAATATTATGAGGGGCAGTGTTATTGTAAACATCAAACATTAACATCGAAGAAAGCTTAAAATAGAGCATTGTAATAGGCATAATATTAGAGTGAAGAAAGTAAGGGACGGCATGAGACAACCCTCTTTAGATACCCAAGATATCTGAAAAATACATGTATTGGCTCCTGCTTTGAGCACCCTATAAAGTCCCAGCAATGAAATGTATAGCATACCTTAGGTAATCTTTTTCTTGGTTACTGGACAGAGACTGTAAACACCACCCTATACTAGGTCATTCCCACAATCAACAATGGTATTAGGAAGGATTTAAATGGCAGGGTAGCACACTCAACACATTTAGTTTACTGTAAAAGTAGGATTGATCTTTTCATAATTCTTGTATTACAACACAGGCAGCCCAAACTTTCAGGCCTGTATGTTTCTGGCTCGTCATACAATCATCCCCAAAGTTCATTGGTGGGGCTGCCGAGTGAAAAAGAACGTCTTTGTAGCCAGGATGCAATAACACTATAAGCTTTTGTAATGGTTTAGAGAGTCTGATTGAGAAATCTGAAATGTTGAAAAACTGCCTTGTCTTAGCTCCACGCTTACACACGTGCTTTGGGCACGCAATAACAGCCCCATACCAGCATGCCACACGGAAACCAATGTGAAATGTCAAACTTTCTAGCTAGTGTGGGAGCCTGGAACCTGTGTTTAACTTGATAAAGACATCGATATTGTGGTCAATTGACAGCTGTCAAAACAGAATATCTGCTGACCAGTGCCACATGACCGTATTGCAGGCTCAAGGTCACATGTTTTTAAGTTTTCTGCTGATCAGTTGTTAGCTTTTAATTGATTGCAGGCTCAAGTATATGTTTTTCAGTCATATGCATGGTTCTCCCCTAAAGTTAAGTGTAGTTTTGGGGATTTCTTTGCATTTTAAAGACCATTGTCTAAAGTAAATTTAAATTGCATAAACAGGAGCTCTGCTTTTTGCTTTGGCTAAATCTTAATATATTATGTCTCTTTGAGGCATTTAGACTGTAGGATTAAAACTAGCTACTAGTTCATTGATTGAAAAGCCTTATCACCGTAATATAATGTATAATTATGATATTTTGAATTAATATCTGCAGAATCTCCCACAGCTAATGGCCCCAGATTAGATCTGATGCATTCATTTGATGATGTCATCCTAGATTTCATGACAGAACAAGATATTCCGGGGGCAAGTGTTGCTCTTAGTAAAGATGGAAAGCTTTTTTACTGTCAAGGTAAGTGATGAGGATGTGCTGGTGAGCTATTGGTCAATTTCTTTCCCTTTCCCTAGTAACAGTCCCTGAGGTCTTTGCAAAAGTTAACTTGGTTCAGTGTCTATTTTGTTCCTAAAGTGGTGAATTGGAGGGCTAATGTACACATGTTTTGTACCGGGCGGGGGGTACTCCCGTATATGGGCTATATAGGTACGTGCCGCGGAATAGGGTATGGGTTTTGAGGTTCTCGGTCCTTAAATAGGGTATCTTTTTTGACCCTTTTGTTTCTGTGTCCCTGGTGTGGTCCTTAGATAGGGAAACTTAATTACATTATCTAATACTGGAGTGTGAAAACGCCTGCCTAAACGAACGTTTTTTTTTTAAACGTGATGTATCCGTTTTAAACTTGAAGTATTAGCAAAATGATTTTGCAACAGAGGATTAATAGCCCTTAAGTGGGTAAATACACGTAACGCCTCTTCAAGCCACACGTTTGTTTTTTCCTTGAATAGGGTGTCATTTTTAGGCTTTGGGCCTTAAAAAGGGTATCAGTTTTTGCTTTCTTAGTCCTTAAATAGGGTTAGGGTTCACGAACCTTCACGGCACACTCCTATCCAAAATTTGCGGGAGTACCTCCCCGGGTTTTTGTACAGTATATCTTATGAAACTGCAAGAACATAACTTGGATCCTTTAGGCCACTGTGGAAGCCCCACCCTTTTTTCTCAATTTGTTTTCATACAGGTTACGGTAGTGCTGGTGCAGGCAGGAAAGTTCAACCAAATTTCATGTTTAGGATTGCAAGCATCAGTAAGACAATAACCGCTGTAGGAATCATGAGACTTGTACAGGAGGGAAGAGTCTCACTTGAAGACAGAGTGTTTGGATCACAAGGTAATTTTACAGTACATACTGTCAGTGCCCTAGGAATGCTATGAAATCCTAGTTGTTAGCCCTGCCCACTGTTTGGTGGGGAGGGGGGGATTACGTGTAGGAAGTATTTGCAGAATATTGGAAATAACATCTGTAAACAACTGAAGTGATAACAACATGCATACGTTTTTGCACTTCAAGAAACATTACGACCTCACACTTCAACTATAACTGGAATATAACAAAACAAGATATTGGCATATATAGATACATAGTACTAATGACCAAATAGCCCATTTTATAGTAACAGATGGAAACGACGCGGGAGTCGACCTTGTTTTTTTATGGCCCTTCCTGTTGTAATATGTAAATCATGTTGTTCTTATGCCAACTAAATAAATATTAATAAAGTATAAATTTCCATAAGAAAAGGAAGAAGGTTTTTATCAAAAGAAGGTCAACCTTAACCTCACGTTCACTCAGAGGGTTCGTTGACTAAGCCCACAACACTGTAAAATGGTCCATTAAAACTTAATATGTTCTTGGGAAGTGATCCCTTCCCCCCCTAGGGGAATTGTTGATGCTGTTTATGGCCAGTGCTAGTTTAATAATTCTCTAAAACAATATAAACTAATGGTTTGGCCCTGTTCCCCCTATAATTACAGTCCCAGAAGATACTAACTGATGTACAGTTAAACATGCATATAGAATGCCCTTCAAAAGTGTGAGGATACATTTTTTAACCAGCTTATGTGGGCCAGGATTGGTGAACTTGTCTTAGCTTACAAGAAAAACTTGGATGAGGGTAGGGATAAATTTAGAATTTTTAGCTTAAGAGTTATTGAGTACCAATTATGATCCATTAATCCTGCACCCACAAAATTTACACAGATCAGTTGCTGCATTACTATTTACTTATGTGAAGTAATTTACTAAAAACATAAGCTAATCTTGATAGTTATCCTGTCCTAATTTTTTGAAGGAATTCTGAATGAATTCAGTCCTACAGTTAATGGAGACAGACGAATCGTGGACATAACAGTTAAACACCTCCTTCATCACTCAGCTGGCTGGGACCGAGATAGGGCTGGGGATCCTGTGTTTTGGAAGGTTGGCAAGCACATGAATGTTGAGGAGCCTGTGTCGCCAAAAGTACTCATACAATACATGATGGGAAGGAAACTACAGTTTGGTCCAGGTACTAATGTGAGGACAGGACAATGAATTTATCAGCTAGGAATTTAAAAAAAGAACTCTTTTCTCAGTAGACTATGAGCAGCCTGGACCATGAGTTTTTCTTATTCAGAAGCTTGGCTATAATCGAACCTTTATTATTTCTGGTGTGCTATTAAGTAGCCTACTTATATTTCCGGCACCTGCAGTGACTATAGAGTCAAGAAAAAATAATAACGACAATAATTCTTTATCAGTTAATCACATAAATGACAACCTTCATTTAACAGTCTAGATTAGCTTTTGTTACCTGCAGGACAGTATAATTAATTAACTTAAAACTTACAATAAAGTTATGATGTTGTTGTTGTTGTAGTCACCTCTATTAAACTGTCTATGTCTGAAAGGTAAGAGCAGTACTATGCATTCATTTCTTTGTCAAGTCTCTCACTACTTTTTTTCATTTGTTTGTCTGCTTTTGTTTAATAGGTAAAAGACATGCTTATTCTAACCTGGGCTATACAATCTTGGGGCAGGTTATAGAGAGAGTAACGGGACAGGCCTATGAAGAGTTTATGGTGAGCATTTTAAAGAGTGTAGAAGTGAGCCAGATGAAGATTGGAAGAACTCGAAAAAAAGATTTGGATGCTAATGAGGTAAGCATCTATATAAGACCAAACCTGCGTTTTCTTATTTTTTTTTTTTTCGAGGTTGTATTATCAATGAACTTTGTACAAAAACGTCTCCTTGATGTTTTGCTTATTTTGGAATGTGCACAAAACGTTCGCAATTTTTTGATACATTATTTGAACTATAAGTAGAAAAGAATGACATTTGTGTACCGGAGACTGACATGCTGGATGTAAAGCGTGTTATAGGGCTGTTAGTAAGACAGTATACAAATCTTTTCCTTTAAAATCTTCATATGCAGTAACAATTTATAAGTTGTTACTGAACAGATTACACGACCTCTTTCACACTAAACTTGACATGAAAGAGCCATCAGAAAATTGACCTCTTCGATCATTTCCTTTGTGTCATTTATCCATCACAGGTAGAATATTTTCATAATCAGCATCCGAGGCTGGTCAAATCCATTTTCCCCGACGGGGGTAGAGTGCCACCACAGTACGGAAGGTGGACCATAGAAGAAGCTGATGCGCATGGCGGGTGGATAGCGACAGCTGCTGACTTGATGAAGTTTCTGCTGGCTCTTGAACACGGTGTAAATGGTAAGAGAATGATCTCAACTGAAACCTTTAATGTGATGCTTGATAAGCCGTCGTTTGTCGACAAATGCGCAGAGGAATGGTACGGATTTGGTCTGGATATCAGAGACAATGGAAGTACATGGGGCCACTCCGGACAAATGGAGGGAACCTCAGGTGTGTTAACACGCCACTGTGGGGGGTACGCTTGGGCCCTGTTGTTCAATTCTTGGGCTAGCGACTTGGACTTGGATGGTTTGGTAAAATACGCTTTGAGTCGAACTGCGCATGTCACACGACAGCACATTTCATCTGATGTTACTGCAAGGCCTTTTCCCTCACGGCTGCTACCGCTGACTGATAGCGGTCATAGTACAGGAAGTTCTTTAAGGGAGACTGGAGTCTTCCCCGAAAAGATTGTGACTGTAGATAATAGACAAATAATAGACTTGATGGTCCCACTTAACCATTTCTGGACAACATATAATGGTTTTAAAGAACAAGGATTTGATTTAACATGGCTCAATGCCTTTAGGCTTGCAGATGTCGTATATTTCAATGTTATTTTCCTTCAAAATGGTGGGATTTCTCCTACAACTGTATATATCGGATTAACCGTTGATTCGTGTCGAGAGTGCGTAGAAAATCTTAAAGACATTCGTCCTGTGCATATCGAGACTTACATCGACAGCAACGAACTTCACTTTGCTGTAGTTTTAACTCAGGCTAATGGCGAAACCTGGGAGTTAAGCTACGATTGTACCGTTGCCGAGCATAGAAAAAATATGACAACCATGTTTAATAAGGGTTTTAACTTGACAGTTCAATGTCTGACTGAATTCATGGGGCGACTGCATGTTACAGCTCTATACGAGAAAGTTCCTAATGGTGAATGTATAGCCGAGTTCGACATAAAACCTGATCATTACCAATTTGAATTCAATAGGCAAGCAAAGCAGGGTGGACAGTTATCATACATCCGGGCCTATCAGGTGAAAGGTCAGCCTCGATTTAGTGCTATTTGGACCAATCAAAGGTCGTCGCTAAGTGCGACGAGGCATAACGTTTCCAAATATGGTTTTCTGTTCGAACTTGAAGAGGCAGCAAAGAAGAATGTCTACGCGCAGTGCGTTAGTAGCTACGTAAATGAAGGTGTTCTTAATTTTGTTGCGTCGTGGAGTAAATAAAAATGTAAACCTGAGCCGGGTTGAGAATCAGTAGGATAACCCAGGATTAGCCCCAAATTTGAGTTCAAATCTGAGCGCTTACGAAGTAAATTCCTGTATTTTTTTTTGTCTTGACATTGATTTTTGAACGCTCTAAAATGACTAGTTAAATATGACAGCGAAAATGCCTTTGAATAAAAGAAGGACGGACCAGTTAACCCGGGGTTAACGATAATCGGCCTTCAAACAAGTGTGCCCTGAGTATGCAAGGAAAACATGGGTTTGATTGACAGCCTGCTTAATTTTGATTGGAAGGAAGTTTGCTGCGGCTTTCGGTTTTGATAACTCGGTTGATAGCACCAGTCAGTAGAGCGAGCTGCTCCACACTGAACTAAACGCTAATATCGACAGACATATTCTCCTAACTGTTCCCTATTAATCTCGTGTGGCATTAATTAGGAGATTTTGTAAACTCATCTTCGGTACTCATTTCCTTTTCCTTACGCACAGAAATATAAAGTTGCTGGTCACTAGCTGGCAATGTGGCCGAGTATTTAGCGCGTCGGTCCAGAATGGCATTAGAGATCGTTTGCTCCTCCGAATACTCAAGATCATCTCCTCGGACGTGCTCTTAATAGCTAGCCTGATTCTCAGTCGTCCGAGGTCGTTCGCGAACAACCTCGGACGTCTGAGAATCAAGCTATTAAATAGCCTGCGTAGCAGGCGTCGAAAGGGGTAAGGGAAGGGGATTAGGAGGAAGGGAAAACGAGAGGGGGATTGGGAGGAGAAGATAGGGGATCCTTTTGCGCTTTTCTCTCTCCCTTCCCCCCCTTCCCTTTTTGCGCCTGCCACCCAGGCTTCAAGCAGTTGAAAACATTTTGAGACATTCCGACGACAAAACGACCTTTCTTGCTTCAAATAGCAGCTAGTCACAGGTCTGTGAGATATGATACTGACCTCCCTCCTTCCTTCCATTCAAAGTTGTTCCTCCAAGTTTTGAGCATGATCTTGTATTGCTAGCAACTTTGATAACTTTGCACAAGTCATGGACAGGCCATTTATGCCAAAATACGGTATAGTGTCTCAAGTACTATACTTTTGCAACTGATTGTATCTCTTAAATAGCTAATCTGAAGTTACGTTTTATTTGGGTTTTTTTTGTGATTATTTGAAATTATAGATTACATTAGGCAGCTAAGTACAGAGTCACTTTTATTTTTATGTATTGGTATAGTTAAAGTGAGGAAACAAACAAGTACCGAGGGCAAGTTGCCGCGCTTAACTGAGCACTCGCGCTGGTCTGTTTAACACTGACAAAACTTAAAATTGTGATGGTTTTCTTTCACTCGTCTGGTAAAGAGCTAACTAACGGTCGGCAAAGAAACGTCACAAAACATTCTGAAAATATTAGGAGTTTTAACGTTTAATCAAAGCTATTTAATAGTCATTTTGGCGGTGATCCTTATACAGCCGACATGGCCTCGCGGTTTGAATGAACTATGAACTAGGAACTACCATGTTTATAGTTATCCTCACTAAAAACCGACTCTACAGGCGGGGCAGGTGTGGCTGGTCCTCTGATGTACCGATGTTTCTTGCTAGATTTACCCTGATACATCCAGGATCGATCAGAATATAAGTTTAAGTTAGGACAAGTGTGAATGTTAATAACACCTTCTTTTCTGCGTCGAGGTTCTGGAGCAATGTTTGCGCCACTTCCCGTTTTAAAATGGCCTGATTTAGCATTTGCTTCATTCGAAGACTTTTTCGCCCGTAGTGTCGTGTGAGGAAGGTTTGGAAGTGGTTTTTCTATGAACGATTGAACTTTCGCTTTTAAGGCATCGCTTTCTGACCTCTCTCGACTTTGAAACTGCTTAAAAGTCGGAAAGGTTCGTCGACTGCCGACGTCACCAGGTTCGGATCGTGCTCGTAACCGGTCTCTGACTCCAGGAAAAGAATCGGAGAAATCGCCATCCTCGCTTGTCGGTGGAGTTGGGAAGTATAATCTGTTTGTTAAATCCTGTTTTTTAAGATTCTCTGATGAATGTACTGTTGCTGATGGCATGATAGATAATTCGTTTGATTCACCGTTCATTAAAGTTCCACTTTCAGAAAAGTCTGTTTCTATCATATAATCAGCTGAATCAACATGTAAGTTTGGGTCTTTAGTGACAGAGGCTCTTGCCTTACTAGAAATAGTTTTTTTCGAATCCATTCCATTCGTGACCAAAACAAGTGATTTCGGAGCAGTGCTCCAGTTTACCATTTCGTGACTTTTAGAGTGACGCTTGAGTGACTTCTCTGTCAGAACAGGAAAAATAATTCCTTCCGTGGTCGAATGTTTACCAGTACAACCGTTAGATGATAGATCAGATTTCCTTCCGTTGATTTTTTTGCTGCTTTTTCTCCTTGAATTAGTTTCATAAATGTGTTGTTTTAAACGTTCAAGTTCTTCTTTCTGCTCTGCAGTCATAAATGAATCCTCCAAATCGCTATCTGAGAAACTTCTTCCCCTAGTTAATTTGCTGTGTACAGGAAGGCGCTGTCTATTTGTGAAATTCTCATTATTATCTAAACCCTTTTTCAGCATCACATTTTGTGTGTAGGCACCATGTCTTCGGTGATCACCGTATAGTCGAATGTTCATTGATTCTTCACGATTCACTGGCTCGGGCTGATTTGACAATTGAAATGTGTCCCTTCTACTCAAAGGAGGCAAATGTGGAACCGTGTGCGTCTCTGAATCTCCGATCAAACCTTCATGATTAGACTTTGCTGCGTTCTCGTTTCTCCACGCGGCCAAGGAAGGTTTTAAGTTACTATTATTTCTGCAATAATGTTGTTCTATCGTGACTTCGCTAGTGCTTTTTCTTCTCGGTTGTTTTGTTAACAGTGTTGAAGCAGCTTTAGGTAACGGACGCACGTCACTCTTGCGTCGATGTATGTCTTTTGTATCTGAGACATTTAACACATCTAACCCTGGTCCATGAGGAGACAACTCCATATCCAACACCATTCTTTCTTCCTTAATCAAATCGGATTCTCGACTTCGTAAACGTTCGGGCCCATCTTCCATTTCTCCACCTTCCCATCCAATATAATTATCCAAGGGTTTAATACACTGGGCAGCTTTATCCCTTCCATTTACTGAATAACGGGACTTGAAATCGGGCATGCCGTGACTGACCTCCTTTTTGCGACGATCATGATCCATAGAGACGTGAAAATGAAGAGCATTGCTGATCAACCGGAGAGCACGAAGCTGTAAAAACTTAATTTCCCTTTAACCATCCGAACGCTTAATCACTGCATTTGCAATAGTAATTTTTGTATTGTTGCTCATCACGCAACACCGCTCACAAAAGGCGCTAAATACTTTTCACGCCTGTCTGCTTACGCAATAGATGTCATCTTTTGTTTCTTAATAAAATTGTCATGTCACCCTGATGATTTCTGACAGGCTTTTGTGTATTAAACTGCTATTAGGCTTTATTGTTATAATCCTCTCAGTCTATAACTTAGCCTGCGTAGCTGGCGGTATTGTGTGGGTGCGAGATTAAAGTTTTGGCGGCGGTCCGCCGCCAAATCTCACTCGACTACTACACAATACCGCCAGCTACGCAGGCTATCTATAACTTTTCATACAAAATTAAAATTTTAAGTTGACTTACAGACAACTTCTTTCTATTTATAGATGTTCTTCTTCTTTCAATTTTTAAATCTTTAATTTTCGATGATTGAGAACTTGCTGTATAATCTTCTACAAAGTGTGGAACTAGTCCAGTGCTCAACAGTAATAACAGCCAACCAAGCGTAATACTTCCGTGTCAAGTCTTTCAGTTTCGATCGGCTCAACCATGAGAGGATAATATCCTGATTCCTGTCTCAAAGTCAATACTTAAAGGGGTCTTAAGAGTTTCCTCACTTTTGACAGTTTCCTTACCTTTTTGAGAAGCTTGGAAATCAATCTGGAAATGGCTCAGCTGTTTACAGTTTGTTGACGGGTTGTCAAATTGTTTAACTTTCACTTTACTGTACTTTCCTTTTTCTTTCCTAATTTCCTATCGCCACGGGCAATTAGCCTACCCCCCTATGTTCTCAGTTTTGCAACACAGCCGAGTCAGGGAAATCAAGCCGATGTTGACGTAATACATGTAATGTGAGCCAAAGCGGAATCGCAAGGTCAAAGACTCGGAAAAGTAGAAAATAATATACCGGAACAGAGTACAGTTTTGACAAATTTCGTGACACCCCAACTGTGAGGCTTGAAAACTACTGGTCATGGACCAACGCAAAAATACAGTACGTAGTTTTGTTGTCTATTGTCGAGCTTGTGCCAATAGCCTGTGCGATCAACATGTTCTTTTTTATGATAACTCCATTAGTTTTGTTCGCTCAGGAAATTTTTTCAAAATCGAAATCCGGCTTTTCCGATCAAACGCAAAATCCAGACACCAACTTTACCAAGCAGATCTGCGACACAGATTGTCACTTTCCGTTTTTGAATTTTGCGATATAACTTGTAACCTGCGAATACAGCTGATTCCCGTTGCTACTCCTCACTGGGGAGGAGCAAGGGGAAACGGCTGTATTCGCTGGCTATAAGGCTGCGCTTTGTCATTATGTATAGCGCAAGGGCGGGGTGGCAGAATCCATAAAGAAAGGAAAGGTGTATGTACTCCAAAAGTGTCAATAACATATGAAGCTCCAGCCTGACTCTATGTAAGTTACTGCTGGCAAAAAGTGGCTCCTCCGCTGGAAACTAGACAAATCCCTTATGCCATTGTGTAGTAGGTGACTCTAAGCCAGAGGAAAGAGCCCCTTAACTATCCAGTCTGAGGACTGGTAGCGGGAACTGAGCATCGATTGCCTGCCAGCACAGTCCTTGACCCTTGTAAATCAGGAAGGCCAACTTTGATGATGGTGGAAATGAAGAGGATACTGAGAGTTTTGGTGACAATGATGAAGTCATTTTAGAACATGCCTTCACAAAGAAAGTTGCAATGTGTTTCAAGCATTAAATTTGTGCAGTTTATAACATTCGTGAGCAAATTTTAAACTGGTACTGGCAAGTTTTTCAAGTTGTGTCAGGAGCCCGCTCCTGGTTGTGTATACTCATTTGAGCTATCAAGCACTTAAGGCATTCCAATGTTAACTTGTTTGCATAGAAATACTAGCTGAGAAAAATACTTTGTATGGCTGTTTTATTAGTTAGAGCTCTATTTGTGTCCATTCATTAGTCTTGACTGTTAAAATGACTGTTGAACACAGAAATATTGGCAATTTTTCAGCTAAAGAAAGATTCATTGAAATTTTGAAGTTGTTTTGACTTTGATATCAATAATGAAAGTCCTGTTAAGAGTGTATTTATAAAGCAAATAAGCTAGCAAAATTTCTTCAGGTAAGGGTAAAGGCGAACACGAACCAAAGGCCCACACGGCCGGAGCTTATACCGGTTTCCGGTAGCATGAAGCAAGCCTATACAAGGAGTAATGCTACTCGCCCCTGAACCATCGCAGGGTTACCCCCCGGCAGTATGTCGCCGGTACCCATTTATACACCTGAGTGAAGAGAGACAAAGTGGACTAAAGTTCCTTGTCTATGAAAACAACTTGACGGGTGAGGCTTGAAGCCTGGACCTCCTCTAATTTTGATCTTACTGTCAAAATTAGATGTCGCCAAAGCAACTGGTTTGGATCAAATATTCAATAAAATCCTCAAGCTGGCTACTTCTGTTATTTACAGACAGTTGACTGATTTGTTCAACCTGCCACTTTTAAGTGACAGGTTAACTTTTAAAAAAGTTTAGAATTTCCTGGTGACTGGAAGTTGGCAAAAGCTTTCCCTGCGTTCAAATGTAATAATCCAAATAATTATTGACCAATGTCAGTATTATCAACCGTATCCAGGGCCTTTGAAAAGCTAGTCTATGAGCAAGCCTACCACTATTTAGTTATAAATAACATATTAGCTCCACGTCGATCTGGCTTTAGATCCCTTCACTCAACAGTAACTGCTCTCCTTGATCTTAATAATCAATGGTGTTTAAACTAATATAGACAAGTGAATGATAAGTGGGATTGTATTTCTGGACCTTAAAAAAGCCTTTGATACAGTAGATCACGATCTCCTACTGTCGGAGCTCGTGGCCGCCTGTTAGAAAGGTTTAAATCCTATCTGCTTAAAAGATTTTAGGTTGTATATATCAACCGAATAATCTCCGAGAAATCCATTCTAAAATGTGGTGTTCCCCAGGGTTCAATACTTGATCCAACTTTGTTTCTTTCTCTCTTGAATATAACTGATTATGCTACCACACGAATGTACTCAGATGATACTAATTTGACTTTCACTGCTTGTAGCATGACTGAACTACAACACGATATGAATGTAGATTTACTTTACCTTCAAAATTGGCTGATAGCAAACCGGTTTACTTTAAACCTTTTAAAAACTGAATATATGTTAGTTGGTTCAAGGCAACTAAAGCAACAACAACAATTTTTATTGTGCTCTTAATACAAAAGTGTAAAGATATTAAAAGGAGATAACTGTGAAAAAAAGAGAGCGCAGCCACTCAGAAATAGCAAAAGCTAATCGCGCTGAGTGGCTGGGCCATGCAGAAAAGTAACATCTTGCTCGCTGACCGCTGACCGAAGTGAAAGAATAGCGACTCTTACACAAAGGCAAGAACAGAATTTTGCTTTAAAAAGTAGGCATTAGCAAATGTTTAGGTGTGGAAATTGTCGAGTTTTTGACATGGGACTGCTATATTACTAGTGTCTCAAAAAAAGTATCATCTGGTATAGGAGTCTTAAAAAAGATTAGGCCTTTTGTTCCAGTTTCAAATTTGATAAATTTGACAAGCGTTTATCAATCAATTGTTGAGCCATACTTTGATTATCGCAGTATATATTTGTATGGGATGACATCAGTGTCCAACTCACAGACAAATTTCAAAAGTTCAGTACAAAATCGTGCTTCACGTGTGACCACAGGCTGATTACATGACACCGACAACGGAATTATTAAGTAAGCACTAACAGAGAGGAGAAACAAACAAAAAGCTGTTATGATGTTTAAAATTATAAATGGTCAGAATGGTATCACCCAAGCCTATTTAGCGGAAATGTTTTCAACTAACATCGGGCGATCGGTATATAATTTCAGGAACTCAAGGTGGAATTTAGCCTTGCCAGCAGCTAAATAACAATTATTACCGGAAAAATTTTGCTTACACTGGGGCAAAAGTCTGGAATGCATTACAAGATGAATTAAAATGCGAAAGATCCATCGGAGGTTTTAAGGACAGACTAGATTCCATCAATCTCTCTATAGAAGTTTAGTTTTTCATTGTTACTAAACACTCTCCTGACGTTTATTCCTAGGTAGTTAATATATTGATAAATATCGGTGTATTTTTTTTTTCTTTTAAAAAAAATCCACAAAATAATGCTTCCTTTTTTAATAAGTGAAGAAAAAAAAGTTAGCATCCCCCGTTTCGTCTGTCAAAAACTTTGGTAACCCCCCCTTGTCCCATTCCAAATTATTTGAGATGTCCCCCAAAATCCTCTGCACCCCTACCCCCCGCGCCGGCTGCAATATGCATAAGTGGCCGATACTGGAGACTTCGCGCAACTTTCATGACGCATTGAGTGTTGCAGAAGTGTTACCACTGGTGAAAGTTTGCGCGGCGCGATAAATGCTCTTCAAAATGGCGGCCGTTGTGGAGAAGGTAAAAACCAAAAGGCTATTTCTTTCTGTGTACAGCCTTTTCAGAAGTCGCCATTTTTCCACTTTTAGTTTCGCGCATGAGCTCTCAGTATGTTGCCGAAGGTCATCTCCGTGCGTAAACCTTTTTTCCCGACGAAGTACACGTATCTGGTCTTTTTCCCGACAAGATGACTTGACGAAAGCCCTTTCGGACGCAGAGAAAATAGTCGGTTATCCCACCTCCTTCTTGAATTTACGCTATCTGCTAAGTGATGAGATCTCAAACATCGCCATGTACATGAAAAGGTTCGCCATGAGCAAACATCCATTGCTGAGGACTGCACGAGGCTTTGTCACTGATGAAAATCAAACCATACAGACTAGAGGACTTCTAGTTCTGCTGATTTCCAAAGCGTCTAGGCCATGTTTAAACAACGATCATTACATCACAGATCAGGAACTGGTAGCTGATATTTATTCAAGCCAAAGACAGCTTGCGGACATTACAGAAACCATACATACAGGTAAAAATCTTAATATATTATTTTATTTCACGTTCATGACACGCTGTTCATGATCTTGCTATTGATTTTCACCAACAAGTACATTACCGTAACATGTACACTGGACATATATATGCTTTGAAATTGTATGCCTGCCAACTTTTTCTGAAATATAAGCGTGAGATTTTTATCCTGGGAGTGCTGGGATTTTTGAAGATGACACGATCATTTCCAAAGATTCCCGAAGAAGTCCGAAGTCTTCCGAAGACGTCCGAAGTCTGCCGAAGGCGAAGTTATCAAGTCCCAGTCTTAGGACGCGTATAAATGCGAGCTCACTCCCTGTGCTTTTCACTTCAAAAAACTCAGAGATCGTGAGGAAGGTATTGTCATTCATTCATTTTACACATGGTTTTCATTCCTTACATGGGTCTGAGTTAACATATTTTTGGAAATTGTGTCAAGCAAGACGGCAACAACTCACATTTTTCAATCAGGCGTGAGAAATTGGCCCGCAAGCGTGAGCCGGCATGAGATCGGAGTGTTCAACTGGCAGGCGTGAGACTCACGCCTAAGGCGTGAGAGTTGGCAGGTATAGAATTGGGACTGTTTGTCAGTGACAAAGCAAATAAATATCTACGGAGGAACCTCGATATAATGAACCTCAGTCTATATATTAAATGAAGTCCTCGGTATAACAGACGATTTTCTTTACCCCAATAACAGTAAAATATATGAAACAGTGCCCCGATATAATGAAACCTAGTTATAGGAAACATATTTTGCCAGTCCCCATCGAGGTTCCTCTGAACTAGAAATTTTCTGAAATGGAGTATCATTTCAGTATATAGTCGACTCTCTCTTAACGGACACCCCTGTAAGACGGACACCTCGGTAAAACAGACACCTAAAGTTGGTCCCTGCCTTTCTTTACTCCCTCTTTTTTGGGATGGACATCTCTCTAGGTGAACACCTAGTGCCTGCCCCAAAGGTGTCAGCCTAAGGCCCTGTTTACAAGGAGGTAGGGTAACCCTTGTGCTAGGGTTACCCTAGCACAAGGGTTACCCTAGCAGTCTCACATTTCTTCTTTTTTACATGACGTGTTTACAAGGCAGGGTAACCCTACCTAAGTGCTAGGGTTACCCTAGCAAGAGGGTTACCCTACGTGCCTTGTAAATGCTCTGCTAGGGATAACTCACCTACCCTGGACAGCTTTCCTCAGTCATGCATGACCACTAATCTTGACAATTTCAACAGAGTTATCCAATTTCTGAGCTAAATTATCTGAACAATATAAGGTTTTTTTAGTACATGATGATAATATTTTCCCTTTTTTTTTTTCTTTTTTGTTAATTTAATATGTTTTCCATAGAGAACTTCAAGTTTTATTTCAAATCTTGGACGTTACAAAGAATGTTACACGTGACGAAACACATCAGTAAAGCTGGTTTAAGTTGACCCGAGTGATAGGGTAGCCCTACCTGTGAAATTTGTTTGTAAACAAGAGATAACTTTAACCTGTTTGCTAGGGTTAACGCTAGCACAAGGTTAACCCTCTTTCCTTGTAAACAGGCCCTAAAAGAGAGTTGACTGTAGATGGATTGTCAGTCTAGGGATCTCTGGACAAACTTGGGAAGAATTACTTCAATTGGCTTGTCTGTTCACAAAATACCGTAAAATTCCAAAAATACGCCCCTCCATGTATAAGCCCCTCCAAATATAAGCCCCCTGAAACCGGTAACAGAAAAAACCCTCCGTTAAATCACCCCTCCAAATATAAGCCCCCCAGCGGCTTGTACTTGGAAAATTTCCCTAAAATACAAAGTAAAACAAAGCAAAAACGGTAAATTTACTTCCAACTACAAGGCTAGCCCAATCAATTTTGAAACGCAAGTTTCCCTCTATAGGTAAGCCCCTCCGAATATAAGCCCCTCCAAAAATAAGCCTCTCAAAAGGGGCCTTTGAAAAATATAAGCCCCGGGGCTTATGTTCGGAATTTTACGGTATACATGTATAGACGTACTCTAAGAGGTACATTATTTGACCTTGGTGGAAGGAGGAGGGGGTGGGTACTCCCTTATATAACCCATATATGTATGTACTGTCCCAATGGGTATGGTTTTTGTGCTGTTTTGGTCTGAAAACAGGTATACACTGTAGACTTTGCCCATTTTGGTCTGGAATTGGATTTGGCTCACAAGGGAACTATGGGAATGTATGATCGTACTTGTCATTTCAATTCCAAATTAAAGAGAAAGAAAGAGTAATTTGCGAATTCAAAATGGATGGGACAAGACAAGACAAGATATTTATTATCTTATTACTGCTTACAATTTCTTAACATGCAGACTCTACCCAAAATGCTAGTCATTGCATGCCAAATTAATATTTTTCTATTAAAACCAGATATCACCTGATAATAAGTTAAAAACAAAGGGAAAAGAAAAGAAAGACCATTAGAAAATAATGTCAAAAGCAAGAAATACAAATCTGTGCAAGTTGTGAAGAAGCTAAGGTTTAGGATCTCACGATTGTATTTCTCACGTTATCATGGTTGCATCAAAGTTATCATCTTTGTCTTTTAATATTTCAAAGAGCACGCTGATTATTTTCATTTTAATGTTTTTCTTTTTACATACATGTATCTATCATTCCATGTGGTATCTTATTCCATAATTTAGCACCAAAAATGGGGATGGCTTGTCTTAGTTTTTCGAGATTAAATTTTTTGATTTGGAGAAAAAGCAGATAGCAAGGCACGAGGTTCACTATCCGATTAAAATCCATCATGATTATATTTGGCTTGTTTGCGAAACATGTACAACAATTCTATTGTCTGACCCAGAGAAATTGCTGACGACCCCGCGTCTCTTGTCGATTGTATGGAAACTACCAGTCGTCCATGTCATCCAGATTGTCTAGAAATGTTTTGAAACCAGGCTTTACAAGGATCAATTTATTGCATGCAATTTCTAAGTTACGATATGTGTAAATTAGTGCCATGTTGTCATCAAAAGTTCTTCATACGTATACTCTTACATGACTGTAGTAACACAGTCCATAGAGCAATCATAGAGTTCAGACCATTAGTGAAGTGGTCACTTGCAAGAGGTTAAAGACAATGTATAATTATTAAACCATCAGCCCCGAAAAATGGTTGCGGTTGCTTACAGGATGTTGTCGCTTATGAGAGGTTCCAACTGTAAGGCTTTGATGGGGTATACTTTGGTCTGTTGGATAGGTGGTTGCTTATGGGAGGTGCTTACTTATGAGAAGTAATCGCACATGGAGGTTCAACTGTATTTACTTTAATAACTGTCTCTTTTGCATTTTATTTCAGCTAATTTGGTTCACACTGGTATAGTTGATATGTCTAGCATTGAGTCAAGCAGTAAATCTTATCAGGATGACATGGAATTTGGCAACAGGATGGCAGTACTGAGTGGCGACTTTCTTCTAGCTAATGCCTGTACTGGCTTGGCAGAACTTAAAAATACTGAAGTGGTTTGCATGATTTCTGAAGTAATTGGACATCTTATGGAAGGTGAATTCTTAAAAATGGCATTTAGTGGTCAAAACTTGAACTTGGATTTTTGGAATGAGCTGGTCTTCAAATGTAAAGGAAGTTTAATGGCAAACAGTTGTAAAGCTGCTCTTAAGATTGTTTCACATTCATCTGAGGTAAGGGCTACTCTAACTACAATGTAGTTATTACAGTCAAGCCAGATCAAGCAAACCCCCATACAAGCCCTAGCATTTCATGGTTATGAGTGTTTCTGGTACTGGAAATTGAAAGATAGTTTGCCAGTGACATTTTCAGCCTTACAGTGTGTAAGGATCAATTTACAGGAATTCACCATTTTCCCGCTCAGATTCTTCTCTAGTAGAGCAATTTTACAGTTATAATAATATTTTCCCGTTTTTTTTTCCGTTAATTTAACGTGTTTTGCATTGAGAACTTCAAGTTTTATTTCAAATCTTGGATGTTACAAAGAATGTCATACATGACAAAACACATCAGTAAAGCTGGTAAAGTTGACCCGGGTGATAGGGTAGCCCTACCTGTGAAATTTGCTTGTAAACCAGAGGTACAGCTGTAACTTTAACCCGTTTGCTAGGGTAACCGTAGGACAAGGTTAACCCTCTTTCCTTGTAAACAGGCCCTAAAAGTAATTGAAGTAATGATAATAATTATGACTCGGCTTTTATAGGAAACTAAATGTTGTTAAGCATCTATCAGTTTTCTGTCATCCACGTTCTTGAATCATCCGTAAAGTGCATTGCACGTTACTGGTTCATGGCTTCCAGTGTCCAAAAAAGTAATAATTATATGGAGGTGAGTTTCCATGAATTTTCATCTAACCAAAAATTGTTACAAATGGTTTCCTATGATCTCTGGCCACGGAACCATAAAATTGTTGTCCATGGGATTTGAAATCCTATGGCTTGCCATAGACTGAATCAGTGAATTGAATACTAATGACCTATGAACATGTTATTCTTGGCAACTGTTTCATGCATAATGACTACAGCTTCTCAGTATTCCATCAGATTGTAAAATATTGGAATAGATAAGATTTCTTTAAAGCCATGTCATTTAAATTCAGGAAAACTGAGCTGGCAGGAATTACTTTGCTACCTCACATGTGAATTCATTACTCAATTCACATGAAGGAATGTAGAGATGAATGTGAAATCTACCAAAGGTACAGCTGCTTCATTGTACTATTACAGAGATTCGTCTTCAAATAATTAATTATTCCCTTGCCAAATTTCTTTTAGCTTCAGAACAAAGCTTTTGAGTTTGGCAAGAACCTTGCTTATGCTCACCAGCTGAAGGAGGACCTGCATTCTCTTTTTGAACATAAATCGCCCACTGTGTTGTACAGTGCCCCAGTGATTCTGGCCAGTGGACAAACTGAAGTGAGAAAACTGGTTAACCGTATCTTTGTGGAGAAAAACTCAGAGAAACTTGGTGCATTCCAGGAGGAGTTAAGAGACTTAGTCACCAGCAACCAGTCAGTCAAAGAGATGGAAGAACTATGTTCATTTTATGCAAACAAAGCTCTGGAGTCCTTAGATCCATTTCCAGATTCTGAAGCTAAGCAGGCATTAGTAAATATTACCAAATTTTCTGCTGTATAAAATATAAAAATACTAGATTTTCAACCGCTCTTCTCCAGACTATTAGGGCGAGAAGAACTATGATCCCTGTGACAGTGATTTTGTTTAAAACACTTTATGGTGAAACCTGGGACTCATCTTGGGAAAAATCATGAGTCCCAGTCCAGAACCAATGAGTTCCAGTGTAACCAGATGACAGACTCCAGAACTCTTTATTATGGTATACTGAAATTAAAATATAGTCCCTGGGTGGGGTGGTGGGGGTACTGCCATATATGGGCTATATAGGTATGTGCCGCTGTGAAGGGTATGGTTTTCAAGTAGTTTACTGTGGGATAGGGTATATAAATCAGAGAGTTTGGGTCTAGAACAGGGTATCATTTACCAGGAAACTGATCAATTGGTTGAAGATTTTAGTCTAGACTAGGGAAACCGTTCTGGTAATTGCCACTCAAAAATATGAAAAAATCAAATCGGTTTTGATTTGGCTGGACTGTGTTTGTGACCTCAATAGTTTCTGGAAAACAGCTACTCTGGAATAGGGGGGATTTTGGGAGTTTAGTCTAGTATAGGGTAACAAACTTCACTTCAACTAGCTCTGGTAAAGGCTAAGGGTTCTAGGGTCCCAGCGGCACATCTCCACCCAAAAATTCCTAAAGTACCTCCCCCGGGATATAGTCCTTCTAATTTAAAGTACAACAAAAGCTAAAAGACATATGCGTTGTTAAACAACAGACAGAATAGCTGCCACAGAAATTATACGAACGGGATATTTCTACAAATACGCATGTTCAGATCGGTCGATCTTTGCGTCCTACGGGACGCATACCATGAATTATTTGCGTCTTTGGGGATTTTATGCGTCAGGACGCAAGACGCAGAGGTAACAAAATCACTGCTATGATATATTGACTTTCGTGAAAATTATTTAGGTTATGGCCTGCGAGCTCTCTGCTCTGAAGAGGCCTCTTTGTCTTGTATGAAGGCTGAGAGGCCGAGTTTCCTTCTTCCTATTGTCCCCTGCATGTTTGCAACTTTTCGATTGGTGCTATTTTATAAGAATACCCAGCAGGAGTACCCTGCGAGCAGAAGTTTCTCTCTTGCATGGCTTTTAGCGTTTACTAAGTCGCTCGCGTGGCTTGTCTGTCGCGTAGTTGGTTTGTTTGCTGGGGCGTATAAAACAAACCAACTACTCGACTAACAAGCCACGCGAACGACTTCGTGAACGCTAAAATTAAAAGCCATGCAAGAGAGAAACCTCCGCTCGCAGCGTCGCTAGCGCTTTTTCTTGGCAAGCGTGCGCGAACTGCGAGCAGCGAGCCACTTCTCTATTCCTCTCGCGGGTTCGCGGCTCGTTTGAGCGCACGCACTTGCCACCCAAACCGCCTGCCACGCTAACCTACCACGCTGGCTAATCGAGACTAAGGGTCTAGGCTTTGATAAATTATGCTTGCAAAAGTAACATAATATGCTTCTAGCAGTGCTCGTATATTCCTAAACATTTGCCAATAATTATTCTAATTCTTGTAAATTGTGCTCATTTTAGCAAAAATTTCGAAATTATCAGCCTCCTCCCCAGGGCGCTTTTCCCTGGCTTTGGAGGAGGGAAAAGCGCCCTGGGGACGAGGTTGCGGAATTATGCTTCCACTTTTTCCTTGAAAAACACTTCAGTAACTATGCAACAAACAAGTAAATGTCAATAGAAACTGTAAGAGTGCATAATTCATTGTCTACCAACTACACAAACCGAAACAATAACAATCAGCACGGGGACGCCATCTTGGGAACATGTAATCGTGTCAGAAATGCGCATTGGGCATACCCTTATAGTCCTGGGTCTCTTCCGATGGGACCCAGGTCAAATTAATATCACAATAAGCAGACAAAACATTGATTTTGTTACGTCAAATTGCCCGTAACACTGATCTAGAGCAAAAAAAAAATGGTTGCATGATCTATAGCCTGTGTATAGCCGCTCTCTCCCCTCAGAAAAAAAATTCTCAGGGGAGGGGGCGGTTGTACACAGGCTACATGATCAGTAAATGACAATTTTGTGAAGCAAAACCAGCAAATGTGCAAGTTATGTTAGCAGTGCTCTTTTCAGGAAATGGGTGAAAATTATGTTCGCAATGACGAATTATGCCAAAAAGTATGCTAGCACAATCTGGATCTCCTTTCTGTGCAATTCTTTTGAGTGTTCGCGGATAGCCTGCGTAGCAGGCGCAGTTTTGCTGTGTGCTGGGTCTCTTGTCATACTGTGCCCCTTCTTTGACGCCAAAGCACCAAGTCTGGCTCACCAGGGTAGAAACGCACTTGATCATTTGAGTGTCAATGGTTCGAACTGGGGACACCAGTTTTACGTCCCCTAGCCCTTCTTTGTCTAAGGCACGAGTATCATAGGCGGCTCACGCAGACGTTCTGAGGCGAGGAACGCGTGACGGAACTCTGGAATATCTCAAATATCTCCTTGTCTCCACAGCGTGAGGCTAACTTTATCAGGAAGTATCCCCAGACGGCAAGGGTCAGGGATTAGCGTATGACGTTCTCTTTCGCTGTGTACTTTGTGCCGCGCGCCACTTATTTTCAACCGGGGTCAAAGTCTACGCAGCATAGACAGTCAATTGAACGTGGGTCGTAACAAATCGATCAGTCACAGTTAAGATATTTCACAAGCTATTTAGATTTTTTATCCTGATTTAGCGTACCGACTCTACTTTTACAAAGGAGGACAAGTTTGCTGATAAAGATGGGAAATAATCAATGTCGCAATTGCCGGATAGAGCTCAAGACTGATGATTGGAAGCCATATTGTCGCGGGTAAGGAAGGGTCGCGTATCGTTAGATTTTCAAATTTTAAAATTAAACTTTTATATGTGAAACCAACCACACATCAAATCAGTCTTACAACTCGTGATTTCATAATATTAGCAATTTGCATTTTACATAGACCACCTCTAGCTTTTAGCTTGTAGGGTTAAATCAAGATGCCGTTCCAGACATTTGTTACGTAAACGTTTTGACCTTTATCATGGGATGACAATTGTTACTTCGCCCAAAAACTGCGACCGAGTGAGACATGTGGGAACACCATCGGTCTTTTCTATCTCTATTGTCTTTACACGTGTTAAGGGTCTTTTTGTCTACCAACTAGTCTGTAATGGGGGTTGGAGACGTATAACATTTCAGACTATTCTACCAACATAAATTGCTTTCGTTAAATAGTTCGTTCTCCAAAACCGGACAACCTAGTGAATGACTTCAGATTTTAACGCTGCCAAAGGCATATCTAACGGAAAAGCGGACGAAAGCGGTTTTCTTTCAAAAAGGACGTAACAACCTGGCTCCGGTCGTTCAAACGTTGGATAGCGCTATCCACCGGATAAATCACTATCCAGCGCGATAGCTTAATCGGTTTCCCTAGTACGTATCCGCTGGATAGTGATTTATCCGATGGATAGCGCCATCCAACGTTTGAACAAGCAGGGTCTGGACAGGAATCATAAAAATTTTGCTAAAATCCACACTACACGCAGATGGAGAACAAAGAGAAATTTATTAGATGGCAACAGAGAGGTTTCCGGAATCTTGTTGACGTGATGAAGAGACGTTTGAGACAAATACGTGCATCACAAAGAGCGGGTTTATCTTAAAATATGCTGCTTTATAACATAACTGTGGAGGAATATATACAGTTTCGTGCGAAAGTGAAACATGTCAAAGTACATAACATTTCATTAACGTACATCCCTCGGGGGTTATGTTTTAAATACCTTGAACTTTTAAAGAACAAAACAAAACAAAAAACATTTAACTTTCACTTGAGAAAACTGGTTAACTTTCGACTTCCCTTGGCTTTTCTTTCGAAGTCACTGCAGAGGTCGCCATCTTTATCAATCTGTTACATATGCCAACTAAAAAATATTCTGCGTTTATTCCTCAAAAATCTATGGAAATGATTCTGTTACCCTTTTCCCTCTCCTGTTGTCCAAAACAGTGAGATTCGAGGAAATCTTAACGTTCTAAGTATTTTGCATTAATCTGTGTCAGGACCCAAAATAATTTCCTTAGCTTTATATCGGTCCTACATGAGAACAATGTCATTTGAAATCCCATTGTCCCCCCATTACATAGTTGATAAAGTGCAATGGCTTTGAAGCTCGCCAGACTCATCTTTTTTTCTTTGTTATACGTTTTTGCTGGCGTTTTTGGACGTGACCGTTCACAACGTTCGCCAGCATTCCTATCAACTCACAGACCTATAAAGACGTCCCGTTACTTTCCCGGGGGCTACTTTTTTCAGTCACAATGTGTGAATCCAAAAAAAAACACCATAAGGTCAGGGAGTTCGCAATATAAACAGCAGCGCTGTTATTTTCATCTCAGTTTAATTTTTGTCAGCGTTCATAGAACCAGTTTCTTCCGCTAACTATGGTAAAAGCCTTCCAGACCCTTTCTTGACTGCGCGCGTGAGCAGACGTCTTATGCTCCAAACCCCACTTTCGGATTGCAAAAGACCTCGATGGTTTTATCCGCTGGATGTGAAAAGAGAATTTTCTTCGCCACCTACATATTTGTTTTGTGACCTTTTATCTAATCCTTTTTTTTCGCGGTTTTTTTTAGTGATAGGAAAATCTAGTGGCGACACTGTTTAATTCTACTCACTGATAAGCCTGACACTAGCCAATTTACTTTCATCTTGCAAAAGAGGTCAATTATCAGTCTTAGATTGTTATATATAATTAAGGGCCTGTTTACATGAGGGTGGGGGACCTCAGATAGGTGAGGTGAGCAGGCCTGTTACCCCACCTCCATGTAAACAGGCCCTAAATCGTGAACTAGTACATGGTAATTGTTTGTCTTTCAGATGTTATCAAAGGGCGTTCCCATCTTGCGAGTATTGTAATAATCCAATTCTTAAAAGCCAGGCCAGAATAGGAAATTACCACAAGTTCCCGTAAGTCAAATGCTTGGTATGTGTATTATTAAGCTATAACTTGGTACATGTAAAGCGTGAACGAGCGTACACGCGCTGAAACCCAATCTTAATGACTCTTCAGAGCCTCAGGTGGAAGCAAATGCGCCTGTATCTTTGCTAAGATTATCCTATGAAACTTACGGTACCACGTGCTTTTTAAGCTTAAGAATTCTGATAGAAGGTACGAAAATAACACTAACAGAAACAAGGGATTGTGCAAAAGTACTGCGATCTTTTTTTCTTAGCTTGGGAGAACATCAAATGTTGTTAACTAATCTTAGCTTTTCGGTTTTTACTTTTTTCTGTCAGATGTTACACTATGGAAACAGCTAAATGCTGTGAATGTTTCGCCGTCGTTAATCCTCACCATGGAGATGGAATATATTGTGAAAAGTAGGTACCATCGTTTGCATTTTACCGCGTCCCAAAAAATACAGCGGGGGTAGGGGCAGCCTGCAAGAAAACTGTCAGTGTTATTTAAAAGCAAATAGACTCCCATACTCTTATAGATCTGCTACTGGGGACCCTCTAACAGAATTGATTAAAAAACTGCCTCAGCCCTCGCCATCAATGCTCAAAACAAATTCGTGCCCAAGAAAAGATGGGTGCAGTTGTGATAAGATCGACGGTTTTCAGCTCTTGTTTTCTCTCTGGATGCTCTGGTTTCACTCCCTCGTGTATGCTAAGAGTATCAGAATCTATTGCTTGCAACAGAGAGAATAAAGTGTCCAAGAAACAAGATTACACAGAACACAGATTAACCCCTCCAAGGTTGTGTTCTAAGGAAAATTGGAGGGAGCCCGGTGCTCTGAAACTGTAAAATCCAAGGTGCCCAGCATTTGATTTGTATGAAAAAAAATAAGATTTTCTAGTCGCCCAATGACAAAAGTTAGGACCAGGGGCCACCGGGCTCTGCTAGAGCACCTGACAACCCTGCCCTCCTATTCCAGAGTGAATGCTGAAGTCTTGTAAGGTAGTTTTAACTTCTGAGTCTGTGGACGAAATCTTATGGTGCAGTGACCATAAAACGAATCCTATCTGGCAGCTATTTCATATAGTACAGGGGCACCCAACGACAATTTTCGCAAGAATATCTGTTCGGAAGACGATTTGAGATCTGGAATTTTCGAAACATTTGTTGTATTGTTTATTTAGTTTGCCTATTTTTAAGCGGTTCTAAAAAATTCTAGTTTTGAGTCTGTGGATGAATCCCTATTATTTTCGGATTATGGTGAACAGATGAAAAAATTTTAGGGGATAAAAACCATTCCGTTTAAAACTAAAAACGTTTAACCATGCAGAACTATATTCTACTTTCACATGGTACTATTTATTTAGTACGTAGTTCTAACTTTTGAGTCTGTGGATGAAATCCCATGGTGTCACCATTCAAACGAAACCTCTCCAGCAGTACTTTCACATGATACTATTTATTTAGTATGTAGTTCTAACTTTTGAGTCTGTGGATGAAATCCTATGGTGTTATCATTCTAGTGTAACCTCTTCAGCAGTACTTTCACAGCTCTTTTGCTTTTTACATTTTACTAATTGGAATTTGAAAGTTTTCGGTGGCGAAATTTGGGTCACTTTTGGAAGTGAAAGGACACTCATCCTTCACTCTGACAGTTCTTAAGCTACCTTTTTTGGTCAATTTTTTTAAATGAATACTAGTAAGAGGATCAACTTGACCAGAGGATCATCTCAACTTTTTAAAAAATATTTCTCTGGCCTGATCTCTTAGACTTCATCAGGGAGTTTAACAAGATAGTCATAGTAGATTGAAGGAACTATCTTATCCCTAAGTATTATGGTAAAAATCACGTAGTGCAGTTAGGGTGTGAACAGCAAATCACCCACAAAGGATAAGGGTAGGATGTGACGCGGGGCTGTACCATACGAAAGTAACTCAACTACGTCACGTTAAATCCAAGAGCTCCAACATTAAACATTGCACACTTTGCTACGCAGGATTGTAGTCATATCTTGCACGTACGTATATATATTTAGTGTGTGTATAGGTTTTCCTGTTTTGCTACTGACACCCTTAGCTGGGATCTTGTCCACAGTAACGTTTCTTTTTTGCAATCGCGGTAAAAGAAGTGTGATCAGACGAAAGCGGTCAGAGAAATAGAAAACATTAAAAAGATACGTTGCTTTGTACTGCTCACTAGTATTCATCAATTTAAAAAAAAAATAATGATGACAAATATTAAATTACACAAAATGAATCGCCTACAATTGGTGATCAGAAAAATATACAGTGCGTCTTTGAAAATCCCCACCCCACCCCCATCACTTTCCTAATGGCCTGTCTCTAAGAGGTAAAATCGCAACCAGTTGTAACGTGTCGCATATGTTTTCTCACTATGGTGCTGGCTGGTCGCTGGTTTGTGTTTTAGTGCAATCGGCCTTCTATACCACCACATTTTTGATAGTGCAGGTTTAGCCTTTTACTCAGCTTGTATTACTGTAAAGAAAGTCCTAAACGTTAACTTTCACATGAAACAAGCTAGGCAAGCACGCTTTAAAAAACCCTAAAACAAAGGATTGAGTGTCTACGTCAACGTTTCACTTGTGCGTGCGTTTGCGAATGCGATGATTAGGCCAGCGAATTATCGAGAAGCTAGTGCATGGATGGCACGTGTAGCGTAGTGTGCGTGGCGGGCGTCGAAAGGTGTAGGGGATTGGAAGGAAGGAAAAAGGCGCTTTTCTCGCTCTCCCCCTTCCCCCCTCCCCCCTCCCCTCGTGTAGCGTACTGTATGAAAAAAGGACATTGGAGTTTGGTCTTTATGATTCTCACAGCTAAAAACCGGTCGAGCCCTTTTGTTCTTTCTTCAGTATCACTAACACAGCGATATTTTTTCACTTTTAATTGGAAATTTTAACGACACTGTCACTGTGTGTTGTTTCTGCAGATGTTACGATGTAAAAAACGCTCCTCCTCTTAAAATGTACATCAAGTATAGGGACAACGAGTTTAGCCTGCACTCAAGAGATGAAAGGGTGCTGGATGCTCTGAAGGTCTTCTCAGATGGGTTGTTCAATGCCCTTCAGAGAAACGCAAGCCAGCGCTCTCTGATCCAAGAGCCTCCGGACAACGGACAAAGCAGCTACTGGAACTATACCAAGTCTTATTTGGAATATCCAGTCAGAGGAATTAGAAACTTTGTTGGTAAAAGACTTCTTTCCCAGAACTGAAAAACCGTAACAAGCTTATCTGTTTCAGGCGTTCAGATGTTTTTCGCTTCGCTATCCAGCCACTTTGTTCTTCTTTCCAATATCTGAATGCCTGAAGCAGGCTTACAGCAAGTCCCCTACGCGGAGGCCACGTGACAAACGTTTTTCTTTTCTTAGACTGAGAGAATGCCAGAGTGCAAAGTTTCCTAACATTGCCTCGAAGTAACTAACCTCGAAAAGTAGCCACCCTCCGAAAGTGGCGATAGAAAAAAGGGTGCCGAAATTCGAATGTAATGGAAACCCGCAGGGCCGTTGCTTTCGAAACTTTGCGGCGTAACAAAAGTAAAGAGGGAGCTCTGATATGTAAAATCAAATCAGGGTGCAAATACGCCATCGACCGTGTTTGCCACTATTTTGTTCCCCATAATTGCATTAGCTCCGAGCAATTATTTTGTATATTATATTTTTGTATCAATGGCGCAAAAGAAAACTATATACGTAAGAAAAGACGATCTTTGAAAATACCTTTCAACTACAGCATGTTATTTGATGTTGCTCCCATACTTTTGTAAAATAATTATTTATATCTTGTCAGTGCGTACAGGTATGAAAAGATGTCAATTAGAATATTGTTTGCTTATAACTTAATGGACAAAATTATATGAAAAATGCAAATAAATTTAACTTCATATTTGTTTACAGATTGTTTTCGTGATGTGTTAATGTGTGATAGTTTCATTCAAATAAACAGAGTCTTCAATAACAAAACTGAATGTATCATCATTTTGGGACTAAAGTTTCGGATTTAAAAAGACAGCGAGTAGTGAGACATAGTCCTTATCTACCTATACCTTACTCAGAAAGAATAACATTTGAAACAATGAAGTTTGCTTTTCTTGGAGGCCGTGTTTAAAACTTTTACTTTAAAAACTGGCGACTCAATTTTGACCCTGAGTAATTCTAAGGGCAAGCTGCGCCGCCATATTTGAAAAACGTCATGTTTACATATAATAAGTGTTTGGTTGTGGAATATCTATAGTATGTTTTCAGCACTGCTTAAACGATATGAATAAGAATTCGGCACATTGGGCCTAAAAATTTAAACTGTTGTCATTCTACATAAGGTCACTTCAACAGTAAGTTAGATCATTAAGGGTTATTTGTCATTCAAACTTTTGTTGCATCTAAGTACAAAATCCTGTGATGACACCATTGAAACAAAAACCTTTTTGGCAGAATTCGTGATGAAACGTCCCCTATGGTGAGGATCAAGGACAAACGGCTGTGTTCGCAGACTACTTGATCTTAGCATTTTGGAAATTCACATTTTTTTTTTTAAGTTTTACTTTGGCTACTATCAGGATGGTAGGATTTAACAGGAGGTGCCGGGTGGGAGTTGAGGCTGACTAGCAATGACGCATGAAAATTAAAGGTACTTTGATGCCCGGAAGTCGAAGTTCAGGCACTCGCACATGTACTGCCAGTGGTTTTATAGAGGTCAAAGTCTGATGATCTCACCACAAGCAGAACGAGTGAATAGAACGTGTCTGATATAAAACACGCTTGATCATAAGAGGCCTAGTCAGATCTAAAGTCTTAAGTATCTTGTCATCTCAACGATAGTGTGTTCAAGCTGCTGTTATTAACTTGTTATCTTTAAGAAAGGAATCCTGACATATTTCGAGAAGTTTGCCAATCATTTGATTGAGATGGGTTTGTGCTGTAAGTGCCGTATAGAACTACGTAGTACCGATATACCGTGGAAACCATATTGCCGAGGGTAAGCTTTATTTTTTCTCGTATGTACAACAAAGTTTTCGTGCCTTTCACTCGGGACTTAGCTAATAAAACTTATAGCCTTTCACTATGATATTTTCCTATGAAGTGGACGGTGCGATCACCAAATGACGTAATACTAGAGATTTAAAACTAGACATTGATTTTCACCACATCACAAAAGCGAACAAACAATAGTTTTCGCAGGACTAAGACGACGTTTCGGCGTCGTCATAACATTTTCAACAAGACCAATTGCGATAAAACGACCTTTTAAAGATAGGCAACAGGTTTTTAGTACTTTTGGATATGTCTTAATTTAATACTATCTTCGCTTGGAACTGGCCAGAACGCCTCTGGGTCAGGAATTATTTTGTGGCTTAGCTTCTTTTTTTTTCAGCACAACAGTGTACGAAATTTTGTTCTCTCTCTTCTTCATTGCTGTGTTTGACATTTCCTTATTCTCGCCTAAAATAACTAAAACTTGAGGATTTTGGTCGAAGCCAAGATAGCTAACTAATACGAGGAATAACAAGGGTCCTTAGCAGCTGGGATATATTATCCAATAATTAAAGACCTCGAGGTACTTGTGAACTCTGGAAAAGGCCTTCGCGATATTATTATTGTCACCCCACGTTACATGTGACTGGCGGTATTCTGTTGCGCAATTCGTATAACCGCGCTCTATGGTTCAAACAAACCAAAAAAACTGTTTCTTTCGATGTTACAACACGATAAGAGAATTGTACATCGTAATAGATTGTTGGATTGGACTGAATCCAATACAACAATCTATCGCGATGTACAATTCTCAGGTTCAACGATCAAGACAATAACTAGAACTCAACTAGAAGTAACACTGCATTCTAAATATACAGAGGGTTTTGTACTATCCTTGCGTAAGGCAGTATTTTTACATTAATCACATGTACAGTAAAAGTTTCCATTGTAATGTTTCTAAATTAAGTAACTATTACAAAATCGCAGGGTCTTCCACCTTATTTGGCCTAGGAAAATGCATGCAGTTACATCATTTTATATTATAAATATACTCGGACTTTGTCTACATTATTCTGAAATTTCATGTCACGAAATCTAACTTCTTTGCGCTACAAATGTCAATTCTTAATTAATATTTAATCACAAAAATAATCAAGTTAAGCATCGCATTTTTCTTTCCCGACATAGTCGACCTTGAAATAAGACTACGCCAAGATAAAGAAGTGAAAAATTGAATTCCTATGCCGATATGAATAAGTATTAGTTGCATTTACATCTCTTCTACACATTAAAGAAAAATAATTAACCAATTCGCTCAATGTAAGGTAAAACGGATTCCGGAATCCAAGTTCCACTGACAAGGAATACAAGGGAATGCATTACCTACAATCCGGAAATCCACAGCGTGGAATCCAGAATCCACGGGGACTTTCCATTTGTCAGAACTGGCCGGCCGGACCATCGCCCGACCAGAGTTTTTGCTGAAGAACCATCTCCCTCGTGCATACTATTTAGGATTTGACTGATCTGGCTTGATAGTTTTGATTAAAAGGGAAATTATCATTTGCGACGGGAACGGTCTGGCCGGTCCAGTTCTGACAAAACGGAAAGCGCCCCAAGACTGACTTGGATGACCTTACATGGAGCGACCCAACGAACGGTGAGGCAATTGGGATTACACAATGAATTTTCTTATCTCCACCGGTAAGAAACGCTGTGTTGGCAAACTTATATTATAATGTATGTCGTTCTCTTAAAATTGTAATTTAATTTGTGTTCAGCATTGGGCAGATTGGTATTTACAGATTTACTTCTCTTTTGCAGATGTTATCAAAGAGCGTTTCCATTTTGCGACCATTGTAAAAATCCTCTCCACAAGGGACAGGAATTAATAGGGAATTACCACAAGTTTCCGTAAGTGTATCGCTAAGCTTCATGAACTGTACCGAATGTAGCCATGGAAAGATGGAAAGAAAGATAGGTACTAAGAGTCATTAGGGTACATGCTAGGTAGAATCGAGTGAGCGCAGGGAGGCGAAGGGGTGTCATATGGAGATAAATGTGTACGGCCATAAAGAACTGCACGGGAAACCAGCAATATGTATGGGTAATAGCATGATTAGTGGTGATATTTAGCATAAATACCACGAGTGATATTTCAAAATTGTTATACGTAATTTCACGAGCCGTTGGGCGAGTGAAATTTGAGACAATTTTGAAATATCATGAGTGGTATTTATGCCAAATATCACGTACAAATCATGCTATTATTTGTTTATACTACCACCCGCAAAAGGTTTGTAATTTTCACATGTAGGTATTTCAAATTAAGCTGAAATACCACTGCTCTAAGCCAATCAAATTGCAGTAATTTATCATGTAGTAGTATAAGAATGATAACGATGGTGAATATATGAATTTCATATTAATGCGAAGTGAAGAAATAAATGCAAAGAATAAATGCACCTTCTTTGCATTTTATTTCTTTATTTCGTAGTTCCAATATATGAAATTCATATATTCATCATTATTTCATCTTCATCTTTGTCGGTTATACTACGAAACAATTTCATGACCAGCTGCCAGCGCTGCACCGGTATCGCAGAGGTCAGGACTCGAATCCAGGCAAGCCTGACTTTTTTCACGCTTTCTTTTCGTAACTTATGATAAGTTGCGGCTTTAATTCCAGGATCTTCTTTGCATTTATAAATGATAATTATAAGTGATTTAGTGTGGTTAGTTTGTAAGTAATCAAGCCTGTTGTTGATTTGATCATTGTCAGATGCTACAGTCTGGAGACAAAGAAATGCTGTGAATGTTTCGCCGACGTTAAAAGTGAGCATGGAGATGGAATTTACTGCCCAAAGTAGGTGTCAGATTTTTCGATGAATAAATAGATTTCAAAGAATTATCGTGGGACATAGGGATTCGCTCTCTTAGATCATTCTCTCTTAATACTTTGAAAAATGGTTATCCTTCATTACTGAGCTAATCATAAGAGAACTACAGCGATTTTGTCAGTTGAGTTGGTAAGGTAATTAAAATTGTCCACCGTTTGTGTAGCCATTTATCATAACTCTAACATGAGATCAGGCTCTATTTTCGTTTCGCTTTGAAAATTACATTCGGGCGGGCAAGGCGAAACGAAAAGAGAGGCCCAATTTTAGCAGTAGCCGTTAGAGAGAATGTATGAGAACCGCTAAAATTGGGCCTGATCTCAGGTTATCGTAACTCTGGCTACAGTACAGTGTAAGGGGTCAGCGCTGGAAGTGTGGTAAGCCTTTGTTTTTTCAGTTTTGCTTTCCAAGCGAGTCTTTGATTGCAGGTATCCTGTTCAAGTTACCAAGAAATGTTATTTAAAACAAAAATATATAATAGACATAATTAATATTTTGCCGGCATGAAACGAGGACCTGTCTTAGAGTGCTGAGCACGAGGTATCGCGGTTTGGTGTTTGAAATGGTTACCGTTTTGCTATTTGTGTCATTATACCGTCAGCCTCGTCGAGTTAATTTGTTTTGTTTTAGTTAAGTTTTCAGTTTGTTCCATTAGGTCGATTTACGTTGTCCCCCTTTACTATAGCGTTTACGTCTTTCCGTTTTCTATGCATGTAATTACGGCTTCAGTTTCATTTAGATTGGCTTTTTACCCCAAAGGCTACAGACTCCAGCGACAACAATCGCTGAGATATAAAGAGGTCTATCTCAGCGATCGTTGTCAATGCGATCGCTGGAGAGTGGTTGAGAGTGGTTGAGTGCTGAACGTTTTTTTCTCAGTGATCGCAGCGAACCACAGCGATCGTAGCGATCATATGGAAACCGGGGTTAATCTATCGCAATAACCATAATCCACCCTACCTCCTCAACTGCTACCTGTACGACTTACAAACATATCGAACGCACTCTTCTAAGCTCCGATTACTCCTAGTATACACAGTCCTAATTTTTCTAATGGAGCAGAGTAAAATGCAGACTGCAGACTGACTCAGGACTATTGTTTTTAGGGTTAGAAAACAATGTGAGTATTGTTGTCACGTTCTCATTTGCATGGTGAAAACAATAGTGCGCAGTTTGCGTTTTACACTGACCGTTTTTCCAATAGTTGATTTTTTCTAGTTTAGGTGTCCGGTTGTGGCGTATTTACAGTCATTCATATGAGTTAATCAAATGAAGTGTGCATGAACCTGGCTGACCGGCGTGCCTATATCTTTTCGTTGTTAGTGTATTTAGTCGTGTAGTAGAGGCAAAATAACCGATACCCGAGGGTCAACCCGAGGGTAGATAGCTTCCCACTTGTTTCCGTTTTAGGCAGAAATATGAATTGGTAGCAACTGTTCTCTTATTAAGAGAACCGTTGACAGTATTATCAAAAGGTTTGCACTCTAAATATGGAGCATTGAGAAATCGGGTAAGATGTGCCAAAAGTGGGTATTATCATAAAGCCGTTTATCACTTATTATCGGTTAACTTTCGAACGTCCATCGCCGTATCACTGCGCAATTTTAATTCCCTTAGTAACAGCAATCGATTAATATTGATTAATCCTTTGCAGGTGCTACGATGTAAAAAACGCACCTCCCCTTAAAATGCACTTCAAGTACAAAGACAACGAATTTAGTCTGCACTCAAGAGACGACAGCGTTATAGACGCCCTCAATCTGTTTACAGACAGACTGTACAATGCGTTGCAGACGAGTATGACTCCACGTGTAGTCCAGGAGCCAACACCTAAAGACGATCGACAAAGCAGCTACTGGAGCTATACCAGATCATGGTTAGAATACCCCGTCAAGGGAGTGAAAAATTTTGTCGGTAAAAAAATTCTCTCCTTGGAATGAGGCAAGCCTATACAGCTTACAAACCTAGCTTCCCAGGTTTTTGCGACTTGTGAATAAGCCAAGACTCTGCTTTTAGCAATTTACGACATCGTGTTAAAAATGCTCGAAACTAAAGATTTACAAAATATTTAAACTAGCACATGTAGCAATTAGATATAAGAGGATCTCGACCTTATTTTTTGGGCTATGGTTATTTATGTGGTTTCACTAATGCTTAAACAACAGTCCGCGCGGTAGTCACGAAGCTCTCTTAAAACTCCAGTTTTATTGGGTCTACATACCATGTTTAAACGCTCGGGTTTTTTTTTCATTTATTGTAGTTGTAGTGCTACTGGAGCCAATCCAGTGTGAAGAGGCATGCGGCCGAGAGCTTCGTTGACGCGCCGCAAGTCGGGTGCCAGTGTTGTGCTTCAATACAGTTTTTACTCAAATTTACGGGCAGCGCTTAAAAAGCTCTTGAACTTTTTGAACTAGAGATTAGCATTGCTGTAGTTGTTAGCTGCGTTAGATGCCTACTGAAGCTGAAATGTGTAAGAAATACGCTTCGACACATAATTGCTCAAAGGGGCAATTTACTGTGCTGTATCGTTAAGCGCAGGGAAGGGAACTCCAATATTTAAGCTGTATACGAGGCATATGCCACGGGATAGAAAATGCTTTGAGGTGCTCAGACCTTGACTAAGGGATCCTTTTTGCTTTGTGATCCTTCAATACGATTCCTTTAAACTGTACTTTCAAAATCACAGGACATAAACCTTTAAAAAAACGGAAGTACCCGTTCTGTATGTACAAGCAAAACGCCAGTAGAAAACTATGTCCCTGTTTCGAAAACGAAACGGAATAGAACCGGTTTAAACAACGTTATGCTTAGCCAGATTTTCATTCATCTGGGTGTCATTTTTCGCTGGATTTGGACATAAAAAAGGAGTTAATTTTTCTGATTACTTCCTTTAAATAGGGTCAGGGATTAAGAGCCTTCGGAGCACTAGCTTCCCCACACAAGGGGGAATAAACGTAAACTCTGAAAGAAATTAAAGCTTCTCAGAGCTCTGTAGCCAGTTTAACGGGGGACTTTTGCGAGCACCTTAATGTACCAAAGTATTTGTAGTCTTTTTCTTTAAGGAGCTGAATACGTGTGACAAACATACAATTTTTCCTCGTTACAAGAAATCAATATCAGGCATTAAAGGTCTTAAGAACAACAGATTTGATACCAAAGAGAAATTTCTTTATTTCATTAAAATCCCTCTAATCAGTAACATGAAAAACTGGTGAGCAGTGTCAAGAAAACATGCGACTTGATTTATAGCGAAATATTATGATACCAAGTATCATCTTTTGGAATAGGCATTTGCTATTGATTTCCTTTTATTCTCTTTGTAAATTCATGTAAAGTGTCATTTAAGTGTAATATAAAATGTTTTTTTTCCTTCCTTCTTAAAACTAGAAGTTGCGTCTTTTTTACTGAACAATAAAAAAGAAAAAAGAAATTTGAAACTGGATTCAGAGGCGACAAATTTTCATGAATTCTAGTGTTTGTATTACAAGTGTGTTAACTATTTATTTTACGGCATTCTCAGCCGAAAGTGCCTTAGATACATGCCCCAAAAAGATTTATAACAGATTGAGACCCCTGCTTGCTGACATTAGCAGTAACAAGTACGTCAAATTAACTAAATAAACTTAAAATTGTTTGGTGATTTACATGATCTCCTTGCTTACTCTATTGCTTTAAATTATCCAGGATGCGCGAGTTTCAGGAATTGCGTTCTTTCACATAGACTGCGAGCAGTCTCTCTTTTTGTTCATATTTAGTGAGGGGAGTGCACGCGCGCGCAAGCGTCGAGCGGCGAAGCCGCGAGACGCGAGAAACGAGGGTGGCAGCCTGTCCCGTCTCGCACCTTAAGTAACCCGCGTGGTCATTTGCGTGTCTCGAGCGTTTTGCTTCACGGACCAAGAAAAAAGAGAGACTGCTCGTAGTCCATCTTTCTCATGGCGGAAAATTGTGTTTATGTTTCATATTCCAATTTCTTTCCGTTATAAAACAGTGACCTTTTCAATAATAACAAAATTTTCTAGTGGCAACATTTTAGTTAAGTCCTCTCGACTGCGCTTTGTACCTTTAACACAATATGACAAAAACAATATACAACCAGCTACGACATGAAACGTTCCTGCGATATAGAATGTCAGGGTGTAGGCACCAGATAGGTCTGCTAGAAATCCTACGAAAAAAGAAGCAAAAAGAGAAATAGCACAAATGACCTTACTGTCGATGAGAGGAATTATAAAGTTCACCAATTTCGTCCGTCAAATTAACCTATTGGGACTGAGTCAGTGTTGAATTGCATTATGGGACTGATTTGGGGTACGGATTTTGACCCGGTTTCCCGCGCAACCTCGCATCAACCAATAGATGAAGCGATGGCGACCCTGAAACTGTTCTGTACTGGTGTTTGACACAACAACAACCCACCCAGTATCAAAATGGCCCATAGAATGCAAGCAGTTTCTTACTAGTAGCGTAGCAGTAGCTTGGCACGATTAGTTCGTTACAGTCACTAGGGATTGCTGACAGTCTGGACTTATGGGATGCATTTCATGATCATAATTCAACGGCATAGTATTGATTTGTAATTAAGTAGCATGTTTCCTCTTGTGAATGAGGTTCTTATAGACCTTTTCACGGTTTTGGAAGCCATCTTGACGAGTAGGCAACCGCGTGAGAAATCACAGTGTTTGTATAAGAACCTGATGTCGAATAATTTCCGTAAAACGGCTGTTCTGGAAAAAAATATGAAATGTAATCAAAAGCTTCACTCCTAACGATTCTACTGAAAATAATTGAGGGCGTTACATGCAGCTACATGTGCTAGAATCACTTTTCTAATTTTTCATAGATTTGTCTGTAATAATTTCTTCTACGTGCCGACTAAAATTTCCTGGAAAAAAAATGCAGACAAATACATGGAAAATCTAAAGCAAGCGTCTGGAGCAATCTAAGCACAGTTATACGGCCCCCAAAATTTGTTAGTAAAATCCTTTGATGTGCAGCTTTAGTTTACAGTTCAAAACTTTACTGATAGCCTCCCCCCCCCCCCCCTTTCCCCTTGCCGGGTATTTAGCTCATACATACCTCCAAACGGTGGACCGGCCGCGAGTGAAATTGCAATACAGAGGTGGAAGAATCCAAACCCTTGAGGTCTCTCCTCCGGTGAGAGCGTATAAAGAGCCAAGATGTTCAAGGAAGAAACTATAGTGCCATCCATAACCCCATAGAGAACAAAACACGCAAACAACTCGTTGTATGAGCGAAAATGTGTCATAAGTACGGAAATGATACCCGCAAGGAACATGGCTATTTGCAAGACCCATCTGGGATCTAATTTCTTTATATCACATATGTGTCCTGTCAGAGCCCTGAGTAATACTGATGCCACCCCATTGAACAAGTACATCACAAACGATCGGTTTGCGTCTATTCCTTGTTCTTGGCAATAACGAGCCTGGGTAAAAAAAAAAAAAGTAAAAACAAACAAGAACAAAACTGAAATGATGAAAAGTAAACAAAAATACAGTCCAGTTTGACACGGAGATTTTTCCCCTCCGTAAACCGGAGAAGCCAAAATTTTCAAGTCTAATTGCATTTGGTAGCAGTAGATGATCTGAACAGCAGTCACAGTGGCCGCAATTGTGGGTTTATCTTGTTTTGTTTGAACCTCATGGCGTATGAGTGCAACAGAACTTATGTTATTGAATCGTTGCAAAAATCATATGAGCATGGTTTACGCCTTATCTGGTTCCAAGCGTTCTTGTTATTTGTTTTCGTGGCTCTTTTGTAATTGAAGGAGCTCTTTCGCGATAACTGGATCCATTTTTGGTCACGTAGAAAATTATCTTGGAATTGAAGGAAAACTCGAAATATTACTTAGGTAAAAAAGGAATAAGCCAAAGACGAAGTAATAAGCCATAAGGGGCTAAGTGCTACCTAGGATGGCGGAGATTACTATGGATTACAACCAAAAAGAATCAGTATAGTAAGATCCTCGGAAACTTTCCACCTAGCCCCGCTCCCCTAACCCATTAAATTCACAGTATAACACAATGTTGGTTTAAGGGAAGGGCGGTAGATTGGCAGTCCGTCAGAATGTTACATTGATTCAAATAAATTCAAAGGCTAAATCTATCAAGACGCAGAAATCATGACTTAGAGTTTGACCAGAGTTGTTTGATTACATTACTTCCCTAGCGCCGTGCAAACTTACCATATGTACAATAGGAATGGTTAGACCACAAAAACAAGTGACGCTGGCAATCAAGTGTATCACAAACTCCTTATTCTTCAAGTAGGAAAAGATTAAAGTTGAACATAATTGGGATGATTCAGCTTTCCTGGCAGAGGCCAATACAACTAAAGAAGACCTGACATCAGAGCTTTCATCCACTGTCTTTATAACTTGACACTCATCTTTTGGAACGTTCGAATCAAATGAAAGTGATAGAAAGCAGGTGATCAGCGTCATTCCCGCCATGGCTATTAATGTGACCCTCCATGTGGTAGCGTTTAACAGGCTCTGAATGATGGGGCTCATAACTATCAAGCCTGCGCAAGGACCCATAAGAACCAGTCCTGTTGCTAATGCGCGTCTCTTCAGAAAGTACTTGGGTAATATGGTCAGGGAAACGAAATATAAACAGCTGCAACCGAGGCCGAATGTCAGACCAAAGGTGAAGTACATCATTGTTAAACTGGGTGCTTGAGATGTCGCAAAGAGACTCAGGGAAGCTAACATCCCCCCACCCACTGCAACTTTGCGATGGCTGAATCGATCGCAGAGAAGTCCAACAAAAGGCCCAAAGAGACTACCGGATGCATAAGCCAGAGAACCTACCCAAGCTGCGGAGATAAAATGCATTAAGATCATAGAAACACTAAATAGGTTGAGAGCATCATCGCCTGAGTGAACGTAGAGACTCATCAGGGTCAAAGTGAGTTATATCACGTCTGTTGCTGGTATTAAACCTAACTGGTTTGCTAACCAAGAACAAACGCCTCTGAATCGTAGTCAACAGTTACTGGCACCGTACAAACGACTTATTGACGGACTGAAGCAAAACTAAACAGGGGTTAGAGCACGAGAGAATAGAGTGCGGATGGGTACGAGAGGCGGGGAACGAAAGAGCGGGAGGTGGGAGTCTTAAAGGGTAAAAGCGGGAGAGATAGGCCAAAAATTTTCACAACAGTGCTTAGTATTTGCAATTGGCTAAATTGAGGAGGTAGGGAAAAAAAGGGGCGGGAGCCTGGAATGAACGATACGGGAGACGGGAGGTTTGCCTCCTCCCCGTCCTGCCCTTCCCCCCCCCTCCCCCTCTCTGTGGAGGTATTATTACTCTTGGATTCGAACAAATGAACAACTTACCTGTCCTAGCTTTTCCCTCCTTAAACTCGACTAGAAGCACTGGAAAGAGAAGACCATAGGAATATGCACAACCGATGGGGATTAAGACGCAAATAAAACCACAGAGGCAAACAAAGAAAGCATATGGTCCGTCTAAGCGACTGGCGTGCTTAAAGTCATTTTTAAATATCCACCATTTCGAGCAGCATCGTTGTGTTTGGGTTCCCTGTGTCACTGGAAGGCATTTTTCTTGTTGGGACTCCATATTAACTGGAGTGCACGCTCAACTGGAATTCGCCTTTCACTACAAAGTCTGAAATGCAAAAAACTTGTTTTAGTGCTTTGACTAATATTTTACGTTACCCGCCCAGGCTATTTTGGGTATTTTCCCTCTCAAATGACTGTTAGTAATAATCTCCAAGTACACCCGATAGTGGCTTAGCTGCCTTTAAGCCATTAACAGGAATTTGAGCAAAACTAAGTGAAAATTATCACGTGTTCTTAAAGTGATTTTCTCGATCGAGCTAAAAATGGGCAATTCTAGAAGACGAATCTGCTGTCGGCAACACCTTTTGCTGTTCGCGGAGAGCAATTTACTTTTTCCATTCTGGATTCTACATGAATTTTTGAACGTTGTTCCGTTGTGCCGCTGTTTCGCTGTCTATGATCAGTTCCCTGACCCCTTTGCTTAGGACGTATATCCTTGACTTCGGGGCCTCTGCCCTTTCTGCATGTACGCCTTAGCAGTTTTATGAAAAATTTACAGAGCCGCTTGTGAAGCCACAGCCTGCGAAGCCCGTCCAAGAGCCATTATGGCTCTTAGCCCGTCCAAGATCATCATTAAGTACCCCTAAGAGGGTAGAAACTTTCATGCGATTCTTGACGATGTCAACATATCGAAAATCATCCTCGGCCCTCTTGAGTGATTCAGTGCTACTCGTAACGTATTTGAAGTACTCCGTTTTCCTGTCATGCAATCTGCGTTTAATTTTTTAAACAACCTTGAACATTTGAGCACGGATGATACAAAAGTATCGAAGTCGAAGGATCGCTTCTCACATAAACTTGAAGCAAAATTTAATAAGCTAAAACGGAAAAACGGAATACCTCTTGCTATACTTAAACAATGATGACATAATCTTTAATTATTCACATCGGGTTTTGACAGAGTCCGAGAAATCCGCATTGGCTTGAGGACTGCGTTTTTGTCTACCACCGCAAGAAAGTGGATGGTTATGATATTAAATGTTCGTTTGAATTACTTTTCCGTGACCTCAAGAAATATGGTCCCCCTTTAACGAGTAATAACGAAGATAGAATTGATTTCTCAAAGAAAAAAAATTCTCAACAAAGATGAATGGAAAGCCCTGGATGATTTACGAAAAGATGATAGCATTATAATCACAAAACTTGACAGGATTATAATCATCAATAAGCTTGATTACTTGAATAAAATGAAAAAGTTGATTTCTGATGAAACAAAGCTAAGTTCAAGAAACTTACGCGTAACCCGACAAAATCTAGAGAAGACAGTTTAACATCTTATCCGCTTCACAAACTGAAAACGGAGAAATTCATCAACGATGCCACCCTACAGAAGATAATCTCATGCGGTTCCTCTTATGGTGTCCTTTACGGTCTTCCTAAGGTTCATAAATCTTGTTGCCCTTTTCGCCCTATTGTTTCTTCTGTAAACACTTACAACTATAATTTGGCATCATATCTTGTTCATATTCTTCAGCCCACCTCCGCTAACCAGTTCACAATCAAGGACTCGTTTAGTTTTGCTGCAGATTGGAACAAGACGTATAAACATATGAGGTGATGTGCTCCTTTGACGTCAGTTGCTTATTTATAAACTTTCCTCTTGATAAGACAATACAAATTTGCCTTGACAAGCTATACGAGCTTGCTAATGCGCCAACACCTCCCCTACCAGTCTCGAATTTGAGGAGAACAACACGATCTCTTTCTTAGACATACTCACGCTTCAAACGCAACAATCATGCTTTTTCAACATCAAGTTGCCGAGAGAAGCCCTTACTGGCCTTTACAATATATATGGGACTCTTTCGCACCTCAAAAATACAAGATAAACCTTATCCGTACGCTCACTTTTCGCTGTTTCCCCATTTGCTCGTCACCCTCACTTTGGAGTTCTCTTTGGATGAATTAACTGTTATTACAAAACGGTCATCCCAGCGCTGTGTTGAATTACAACATTAATGATGTTCTTAACAGGCAACCACCACAGTCCCCAAAAAGGAAGTCCTCTTAATTCTACCTTATTTATGGATACAAAGCAGAATCCTCGCCAAACACGTGAAGGCTTGCATCAATAAATTTTACGGCTTCTTTGACCTCCGAGTTGTCAGTCCCAGAGCACGCATCGTATTGAGTCTCTTTTTCCCTACAAAGACAGTCTCACCCGTGCTCAAATGTCCAGGGTTGCTTATACGGCTAGTTGTTAGGACAGCCAGGAGGTCTACATGGGTACTGAAAACTAAACGTAGATTGCATGACAGGAAAACGGAGCACTTCAAATCCATTACGAGTAGCAATCACTCATCTGCTATTGCCGACCCATGTCACGTCAACTGGTCATAACATGAAATGGGACCATTTCGATATTTTGGCAAGAGGACGGTCGGACACCCATTGCAAGATAAAGGCGGGAGACAGTGAAGAAAATGTTAGCATGCTTTTTCTTTTAGGTGCAAATTTTCCTACCATGACTTTTGTTTCTTTAATTAGTTACTTACTCTACATATAAATTTCTGTTGTTATTCAGCCGTTTATTACTTCTGAAGATATATGCTGGAACATACGAAACGTCAATAATCATTGTGTAATCCGCTTTATCTTTTTTTCGGTTTATTTTTCTTAGCAGCCACACCTTACCACGTCATACCATGTAACTTCCTTTTATTATTTTACAGTAGTATATGTTCTGTATATTCGTGGTTTTTCCTAATAAACCTGATGAAGACTGGTATTGGCCAGTCGAAATATTGTATACCTCAGCCTTCTTCACGTTGTTTGATCAGTCTTTGCAGTAGTCTTTTTGACTTTAATTCTAATAACAATAACGATGATAATAATAATCAACATCATCATTATCATTATCATTATTATTATTATTTTTATTATTATTATTATTATTTTCATCATTGACCTCCTGGGTTTAAACGAAAAAAGAAAGCCTGTCTACGGCGCCCTGCCAGATACTTGATAGAATGCAACATCAACGTATAAAAATCTTCACAATGCACATATTTTCTTTCTGTACCCCGATTAAAACTTCAAAACGGGAAAGCTTACTAAAATACATAATACATTTTCGTGAGGGAGGGTTTGAAAGGAACTTTAAGGACTCACAGAGAAGCCATGTTTACCTCCCCAATGAAACCCATTCAAGCGTCTGTCCACTGAAAACACCCTTCAAAAAAAGCCTGCCACTTATTTAACTCTGAAGCGATGATGTGTCAAAAGTGAAAATTGGGAATACTTTTACTTAAAACCAAAAGTATCTATTCGCGAATGAGCGTCGCGGACGCTTCTTTTCAAAGGCGAGGACGTCTTAACGTTCCATTATCATCAAAACCGTGTTCTACTGCATCCTTTGTTTGCATCCAAGGAAACATGCTTATACAAGAAAACATGACGCGCATCAAAGTTATGATGACACCGCTGGACACACGCATACTCAAACCCAACTAGACTAACTTAAAAATCGCCCAAATCAAGATCTAACTCACAACATCATCAAGCACAGTGATGCCAACAAGAACAGTGTCCAATCCATACCTTGCGTTATTTTATGGCTGGTTCCGCAAGCAAGCAAGATAAAACGAATCCTGTGTTCTGATTGGCTTTCTTGCCCGCTCAGGATTTTCCGCTTTGGTCTCTCACGAAAAGAGGTTCCTTTGGAACATATTAAATCCTTTATTGACAAGAATGGCTACCCTCGTTCTTTTTTCTTTTTTTCTTTTTTATTTATCTCGACTTCGTCTCGCTTCATAAAGACGCAAAAAAAACTTGGTTAATATCCAGTCATCTTAACTGGCTCACGATTGGTCAATAACAGGTGTGCACGGAGCTTAAACCTTGGCTGTTAAGTGCTATTTATATTTTGGTTGCCGGAATCGAGAACTCCCATGCCATCATGTAAACAGAGAATCTACAGAAAAACGTTAATTTAATAATCCTCTACAAAACAAAGCCGCGGTATGATGAATAACATTCTTCGCCCAGTAATAGCAAATTATACGGAAAAGAACATATTTCGCCAGTCCTTTGGCCCTCCGCTGTATCGACATGTAATTCGGTGCATACGCTGTAATTCTGCAAGTTTACCCCCAAATTCAAAATCTGAGCGTCGCGCGCTGTGATGATGTTATGCAGTAGTTCAAATAAAGGAATTCATGGGAGATTCCTACACGATCATTGTCATAGAAAAGCTTACCTAGGGTAGCTCTACGTTTCGTTTGCTTTAGGTGTGTAGTTTTGCATGCGGCATCTAATCTCTTCTAGTTTGTGGTTAATTTTTTGACATTTTAAAGTGGGTTCATGTTACGTATTTTGTCCTCTACAACTCGGAACAAAACAGAAAAACATCAACAAAACCCATTTAACGGAAATGAAATTATTTGTGAAAAGGTTAACATAAAGCATTACGAAAAATATGTTACACGATTGAAATGCCATTATTCATTCTTTAGATGTTGACGCAAGCTGTTGAATTCAGTAACGTTTTTTCGTCGGAATCAGTACCTGTATTTCATTACAAAGTCTGGCTCAAATCGCGTGCATAGAGCTATTAACCTTGGCTCCGAATAATTACTAAATTACTAAGAGGTAAAAACAGTGTCAACTAGCTTGAATTTCTTTGTTTGGGTTGATTTTTCAGCAACATGCCCCCGGGAGGATTCCTGGTAGGGGTGTGCCGCCCGCTTCTCCAAATCCTGCCCCTATTTCAGACCAAAACATTATTATATCCCACACCCTTTTTCAGACCTGGCGTAGGCAGAAATTATGTTACCATTACTTGGATTGAACGCCAACAAAAAAGAGTTCTTAAAATCCACCTCGAATTTGCATATTACTCTTTCTTTGGAATTGAAACGACAAATACGTTCATGCATTCCCTCGAAAACCATACATACCCGAATTCAGACCCAGATGGGCAAAGTCCATACCTGTTTTCAGACCCTGAAAGCGGTGCAAAAACCCTACCCTTTGGGGCGGCACATACCCATAAGGTAA